GAAACGGAAATGGGGTGGGCAGTGCCAGCGTGGAGCAGGTGTTCCTTTCAGATGGAGCCAGGACTAATGTTTGCTGGCGACCCCGTAACTCACCCTGGACGGGTGCCCCCTCCACCCCTGAATCCTGAAAGTCCTATATCGAGAGGAGGCACTGTCCCCGCGCCACATTTTCGGCAGAGCCACAAAAGGAATTAACGCGTTATCCCTCCCGCCTCCGTGTGCGTTCACAGAGGTCTGCGCGAGGAGGGGCTGGGCCCGGGAGCCCTGGCCTGGGGGAGCGGGAAGCCAGGGGCCTGGAGAATGACCCTCCGTCCTCCCAGGGCCCCAGCGGGACATGGCTGAAGCGCACCAGGCCGTGGGCTTCCGACCCGCACTGACCTCGGACGCGGCGGAAGCGGACCTCAGCGCCTCGGTGCTGCAGGAGATCTATCTGTCCGGACTGCGTTCTTGGAAAAGGCATCTCTCCCGGTTCTGGGTGAGGAGGCTGCGGCTTGGTTTCCTTCCGGGGATCTAGTTACCTGTTTCCGGGATGCCTGAGGCCCACCTCTGGCATCCTGGTGGCCCCGCTTCTGGGATCATATCATCCGCTTCTGGGAATTCTGATGTCCGATTCCAGGACTTCTTAAAGCTATTTGCTGGTCTGTGGCTCACTTTAGGGATCCTCAACTTCACCTACTGGGGACCCCTATTGACCTCTTGCACTCACTTCTGAGATCCCCCACTTTCCCCACACCCCCGAACACAACTTGCATCCCACTTTCTAGAGCTCAGGCCCCTCCCCATGGTACATTTCTCATCTTTCCCTTTCATATCCAGGCTCTAAACTGGGTGCTCCCCTTTCCAGAAGCCCAAGACTGTTCAAGATCTTGGGTAGCCCACACCCCAACCTGAAGGCCCCTTGGTTCCAAGTTGTGAACCTCCAATGTCTGTACCCTGCACTCTCCATCACTACAAACCCCACTGCCCCAGTTCTGGGAAAGCCCAACTCCCGCTCCTTGCCCTGGCTCTAGAAAGCCCATGACACCATCTAACTAGAACCTATGTCTGCCTCAGGGTCACCTCCCCTTTGAACACCTGTGGGGTCAGCCATGAATAAGCTTGAATCCTAAGTGCTCCTCTCTGAACCTCAGTTTCCCCACATGTAAAACAGGGGTAACGATGGCCCCTTCCTTGCAGGACAGTTGCAAGAATTAAATGAATTCTTACACGTAAGCACTGAGTAATGTGCCTGGCCCATGGCAAGTCTTAGTGTTAGCTTCTGATAACGTTCTTTATTCATTCACCAAATATCTGTGGAGCATTTGTTCAGGGCCTGGCACTGTTTGGGGCACTGGGGATATGGCAGGGAGCAAGATGGACAGACCCCTGCCCTCATGGAGCTCTCCGTCTAGTTGCAATGAAGAAGAAAGATAAGTGTATATATATATATTTAAACTAAGATATAATTACCTACAGAAAAATGCATAGATTTTTTAAGTGTACAGTGACTTTTCACAATGTCTCTGCCAACTCCCCAGTGAGCGCCCCCCACCTCGTCCTCACTGCAAGGCAACCATTGTTTTGATTTCTACGCTTATAGATGGACTTTGACTGGAATTATATTCTCGAGTATTTTGACTGTCACCCATGCATAAGAGGCAAGACCTGAAGCCCTTTTCAGAGTCAAATGTCCCCTGTGGCCAGTGGCCCCTACAGACCTTCACATAAGTATTAACTAATGTTGTAATAATGATCACACTTTCCTTTCTACCACAGAGGCACCTCTCTCCCTGATGGTCACTTGGAGCTCTCATGTCCTTCCTCTTTTACTTTGGGTACCCTGGAGCCACCCTGAAACTGTAGTTCCTGGAACTTGGTCTGAGGGTGAGGGCTGAGCCCTCAGTAATACCAGAGCTGTGATTCCATAGACTCATTGCCAAGCCTCAGTGTATTCATTTATAAAATGGGAACCTTGACAGTCCCTGCCTCAAGGTGTTGCTGTAAGCATTAACTGTCTAACCAGAAGGCCTGGCTCGCAGAAGTGACCACTCCAGCATTGCCATTCTTATTTGCCATGTAGGTGCTGTGTGACCTCTGGCATGTAGTAACTTCTCTGGGCTTCTGCTTCCTCATTTCTAAAATCACACTGGGTAGTAGTGGGTCCCAGGCTCTACACCAACCAAGCCCTTTAAACTATTGCTCATTAGGGCCTTCTAAGGTAGACCTATTGTTAGTTCCATTTTACAGGTGAATAAACAGAAGCCCAGAGAGGTGCTTTCACTTTCCCAAGGTCACACAGCTGTTAAGAGCAGAACTAGAGGCTGAGCCAGAATTAGCGGTCTTGTTCTAGAGCCATGCTGGGCTATGTGGACTCAGGGAACAAGTTACAGTGACAGAAGTGAGCCATGCTGGGCTTCATGTGCTCAGGAAACAAATTAGAGGCAAAAGGAGGGCCCTTATAACGGGTTCAGGGGGTTGGGATGAGCAACCTGCCACCACAGGGCTCCTGTGCCTTGTCTACTCCCATTAGCACTCTGGTTGACCTCCCTGAGCACAGGATCTATATCAGTCTGTTCCCCACTGGATCTTGAGCACCCAGTTCAGGACCTAGCACACGCTCGGTGCTCAGTCAATATCTAAGGATTGTGCTTAGAGGATGGGATGGAATTAATAGATGCCCTTTCTTCCCCACAGAATGACTTTCTCACTGGTGTGTTCCCTGCCAGCCCCCTCAGCTGGCTCTTCCTCTTCAGTACAATCCAGCTCGCCTGGTTCCTCCAGCTGGATCCTTCCCTAGGACTGACAGAGAAGATTAAAGAGTTGCTGCCAGACTGGTAAGCTCCCCACTTCAGCCCAGTAACCTCCCTACTTCCTTTCCCTCCACCCAGTAAGTTTCTCTATCAGTGTGCTATGCCTGCTAAAGAGACTTTATTTGGGACAAATAAATAAAGGTATAGCATCAATAAAAAGGAGGTGATTTCTTCTCTCCTCTCTGTACATTTTCTATCCTGGCTGCTTCTTGTTAGGAGGGATGGTGACAAACTAGGAAATGTCCAGATATGGTTATGTATACTAATGCAAGTGTGAACTCTGGTAGTCTGCAGTTCTGTACTCTTAGGTAAAAGAGGCTACATCAATTTAGGTGTCAGGGTCTTCATTTGTTAAATGGGGGTAATACTAATTGCTTCTTAGAGTGGTCAGAAGAATCAAAATCATGCATGTGGAATATTCAGTACGGTGCAAGGAGGTTGTTAAGTGGAACTGGTTGTAATATCACAGTTGTTGCTGTCAGCTTTGGGAAAGGTGAAGTGGCTGGTTCTAACCCTTGGATTAGTCCCCCTGGGCAAGATTTTGTGCAGACAGACCCAAGGAGAAGATCTTAGAGGAAGAAATTTCCAGGAAGGCTAGATTTACCCAGTCTACAGAGGGGAGAAAGTCGCCCCAGCTCCTCCAGATGGGATTTGCTCCTATGTCTGTTTGCAACTTTGCAAACATGTTGATTTCTTATAGACCAGAGTTTCCTAAACTTGAGTTTGATTTGGAACCACCTGGGAGAGCTTGTTAAAACACTGATTGCTGGACCCACCCCAACAGATTCTGTCTTGCTAGGTCTGGGTGGGGCCCAGGAATGTGCATTTCCAGCAAGCTCCCAGGGGCTGCTGATGGTCCCAGGGCCACGCTTTGAAACCACACTTAGAGTATAACTTGATATCTGGGAGGGAAAAGTGTCCTTTAATAGAAATACCACTTATTAAACGCCTACCAGTTTCCATGAGGAGTGATTTTAGAAGCTTGGCGTTCCCACAGTCCTGGGAGGAGAAGGGTGTGGAGAGAGGCTCGTGCCATTTTACAAATGAGGAAACTAGACTCCTCTGACTGACTCTAATTCAGCAAGATAAGCCACCAACAGCCAAAAGACCAGAGTCAGAGAATATTAGGAAGGGCAGGGGCAGAGCGAGGCTGAGGGGAGGGCTATTCTGGGGCCAGGAGACCCAGGCCCGCCCTCTTTCTCTCTCCCGCAGGGGAGGACAGCACCACAGGCTTCGAGGGGTCCTGGCAGCTGCACTGTTTGCTTCGTGCCTGTGGGGAGCCCTGATCTTCACACTCCACGTGGCTCTGAGGCTGCTTCTCTCCTACCACGGCTGGCTCCTCGAACCCCACGGAGTCATGTCCTCACCCACCAAGACGTGGCTGGTACGCGAGGGGCCGAGCCCTGCTCAGGCCCTCCGGGGGCCCACTTCTCTGTCCGCCTCTCTCTGGGTCTCTGTCCTTTTGGGGGGTATATGCCCCATTCTCTCTGCGGGTTGCCACACCCCCCACCCAGGTCCCCAGCCCAGCGAGGAGTTCAGTGGCCCACGGATCCCTGCCTCCCGCCAGGCCCTGGTCCGCNGGGGGGGGGGGGGAGCAGTTCCCAGGCAGAAGGCTACCTCCCCCAACACATTATTCCTGTTTTTTTCTCCAGGCCTCTCCAAGGCCATGCCAGGGCTGATGCAGTGACTACTGCCCAGCCTTCTGCAGCTGGGGAAGCTGAGTCTTAGTGGAGTTGCGTTGGGAATTCCTTGTGGGGGGAATCAATGTGTGTGGAGGGGTGTCCCATCTCAGGGCAGCGGAGCCTCCCCACCTCAGAGGCACCAAGGCCCCACTAACCATCACAGCTGCCTGGGGTCTGTCTGTATCCAGCCTCTGCTGCAGGCACGCCTCTGCATCCTCATGCTCTTTCCCATGGCCTTGTCCACAGAGCTGCCTGTCCCCTGTCCCCAAGACACTTCCCACACAACCTGGATCACTACACATCATCCACATCTTTCCACATCTTTTGCTACACTGCTCTGGTACAGCTGGAGCCCTGTCCTGTTCTTCCGGGATAGTGTCCACACTGGCTCTGCTGAGGCTTAGACTCCCTCTGTCCCTATCCCCAGGTGCCCTAGTCCCTCCAAGGGTGAAGGTGAGGTCTGGTCTACATAGGAGTCCAGAGCTTCCCCTCCCCCCCCCTTTCCTGGAAATGGTGTTGACACCATTTGAAGGTGTCAGCCGTCCCCACCTCTCTTCCCTAGTCCTTAAAGGATCACCTCTCCAAAGGCCTTGGAGGGGGTTAGGGACATAGTCCACATTACCACCTGTACACCTCTGCGGGTTCCCTAGCAGTGTAGGAGGTGGGGATCTGGGTTCTAATCCTGCCTTTCTGGTGTGGTGCAGCCTTGGAGGCTCACCTGTTTTACCCTCATGGGGGGTGGGGACTGGTCCCAGACTCCTTGAGTACATCTACCCTGGAAGAGGGTTAAGACCAGAGGAGGCGGGGCTACAGCTCAGGCGCTTCACTCAGGAGGTTTCTTGGTGACCGCCCACATCCTCAGGCTGTCCCTTCTCACTTCCTCCGCCATGGGGTACCCAGACTCCGAGGGGCAGGTGAAAGGCTGGTGGTGGCAGGGACAAGCCTGGAAGGAGATGGTGAGGGACCTGTACCCTCCTTGGGCAGGGTTCTGTTTCAGTGGAATGGGAAGGCGACCTCAGAGCTGACCTGCTGATCTCAGGAGTTCTGGGTGCCCGACCCTATGGAGCCCCACTTCTCTGGTGCCTTCTCTTTGAACCCTGGTATCATGCTCCCTCCCCAGGCGGCCCCTCTGTCCGTGGACACATGCCAAATGTACTACCTGCCAGAGATCAAAGACTGGCTCGGCTGTGCCTCCACCAAGGAGCTCTCAGGGAAGTTGGACTTTGAGCCCCAGGACCCTCAAAGCTACTTGGGCAGCCAGGGTGAAGCCTGGTCCAGTTGGTCTCCAGGACCCCAGCCTGCAGCAATGAGGCCAGCGCAGTGCCCAGCTTGCTGGGTGATGGGCACATCTCTGTGCCTCCCCTGGCCTCAGTTTACCCATCTGTATATTGGGGCCATGACCCCAAGTCGTCGTCGTCGTCCCCCCCCCC